TTTCAGGAGGACTTCGCCGTGCAGATCTGTAGTGTATGAGGAGCTTAAGGAGACCTCCCACCCCTTAATTCTTACCTCCCGCTGGGTCGTCTTAGGCCCCTTCCCCATTCCTCCAGGTCTAGCAAAAACACAACCACGGAGAGCGAGGCATGTGCCTGCGCTCCCACGCAGGTCCCTGGCTTTTGGGAAGCCGGCACCACGCTGACCCCAGCTCACGGCAGCTGCTGTCAAAGCAGCAGTGTCCAAAGGCAGGTTTGGAGGGGCACGGTGCTCTCTGCACTCAGACCCTGCAGCCTTGTGAGGCAGCAGGACCCGGGCACGCTACCGGCTCAGCGTGACAGGCGCCAACAGACGCTTGCACCTTCCCTGCTCTTCCCAGCCAAGCATCCTCCACCGCGTGTGAAGGGCACGGCTGGTGCCTGAGCCCCAGAGCATCACCGAAAGGACCGGAGGGGGGATGCTGGACTGAACCCCTCCCTGCTCCTCTCCCTGTTGGGGAGAGCTCACTGGATGCTCGTCTGAGTCTTGGTGACCCCAGAAGCAAGACAGTTTTCATAGTTTCTTCCAGCCCAGAAAGTTTCCCAGCTGAAAGCTCCATGCTGTGCCAATGCCTCTCCCCCTCCCCAGGTCTCAGAAGAGCTCCTCATGGCAGCTAACTGGATGAGAGCCCAGGGGTCTGTTTTCAAACCTTCCATGCCTGGGAAAGGAAGGAGCAGAGACCTGAGCACCCAGGCCTGATGCCTGCCCAGCGTCAGTCCTCTTCACAACCGTCTGGCATGGGGGGCCCGAGGCTTTTCTTTCTGCTCCTGTCTCAGCTGATGTGCTACACGAGGGCTTGCAAAGCAGCGATGCTACTCCCTGCTGCCGGCAGTGAGGCAGCGCGGAGCAGGACGGAGAGCAGCAGCAGCATGGAGACACAGACCCGAGGGCTTCTGCTGCTTCTGGGCTCGGGCAGGACTAATGGACTGGCCCCACCAGGTCCTTCCCAGTCCTGGATCTCACCCCCTGCCTCCCGGTGCTCTGTCTCAAAGCAGAGGGCATTCCTTCTGGGTCTCTCCCCTCACTGCCTGCTCCCACACAACTGCTCTTCTCCTGCAGAGGGGATTTGCCCTGGGAACGTCACCATTTAGGACAGACCTTGCTTCACTCAAAGCTTGTCCTGATACTGTTAGACAGTGGTGTGGATGTTGGACCATGCCCTTTTATCTGTCCCTCCTTCATCTGCCTGTTGATTCGTCCCCCTCGGCAACACACTGATCCTCTATCTGGTCTGAGATCCACAGATGTGTCTCTACTCATCCTCTCCTCCTGCTCAGCTGGGAGAGACAGGGCTGGAGATACTCTCTTCTCTCCTGCTCATCTCACCGCAGGAGAAAACCAGTTGTTGACACCTGCTTTGGAAGATGTTTGCTAAACCCATCACAAGCACTGATCATGGCTACAGCTGAACATGGCCATTCATCCACCCTAGCACCGTCCTTCCCCACGGCTTCCCCCAGCCCTGAGCCCTGTGCCCCGTGCTGGAGCTGGATCCCCTGCTCATTGCACCTCTCCAGGGCACAGCTTTCCAGCTCCCTGCTAGTAGGAAAGCCAGTGCCCACCGAAAACCACCAACTGCCCAGGCAGCACTAGGCTGGGGGTGTCAGAGCCCCACTTAATTTAGGGTGCAGTATATGTTCTCGCTGCCTTCCGTTCCTGGAAGGCATGAAGTTATACTGGCTGCCTGCTTGCTCAAGAAGTGTGAAATTCTTTCTTTGACCTTTTCTGTTATGTTATTAAAAGGCTTCATGGCCAGTTGTTTCAGAAAAAAAAAAAAAAAATTTCAATATCTGTTGGTAGCTGGGGCAGAACTTGGTTATATCTTCAGGCTGAGCTCTCACGTCCCTGCTTCGCTCCAGCCTCGCAGAAGGAGCATGTATGGGACCTCTGAGACTCTCCAGCCTGTCTTTCCCCTGCAAGGCAGGGCCTGGGGCAGGGAAAAAGAGAAGTTTGCACGGGGAGAGGCCACCAACAACTGCAGAGGCCCAGACAGCCTGCTCACTCCTCTGTTGGGTTGCGACACACACGTAACTCCAAACTGCAGGGGTTTATGTTCCAGGGCAACATGGGACATTTGACTGGAGTAAGGATCCCTTCACGCCGGTCTCTGCAAAAACAAATACACAAGCCATCTCTGGCTTAAGGGGCTTATCACACGGGTAAAGAGCATGGAGGCAGTAGAGAAGGCTGCCTTTGGGCATACTGCAGGCTCCCTGCACACGGCAGGAGCCATTCCTGTGAAGCCTGGACTCTCCAGATGTTCTCGTGCAAGCAAATGACTACCCAAATCTATATGATAAATACCTTAAATGAACAGAATTAAACAGATGGATGGATGAATGTACGGACAGGGAGACAGAGGGAACACAAAGTAGAGAATACAGGGCAGAAAAACAAAATTTTAGAGGGTGGACAAGGCTGTGCCATGCCAGGGAAGTAACAGAGATTTGCCCAGGCAGCCACAGGGGCGCATATCCGAGCCCACGCATCTCTGGGCAAAGGGAAAGAGGCAGAGAGCGGAAAGCAGGCAGTGGCTCTGGGTCCCTGCTGGCTGCCCGCACTTCGGGTTGTTTTACAGTTGATTTATACGTGTAACAGGCAATGTTTCTCTGCTGTCACTGACATTAGGAGCTGAAATGCTGCAGAGACGAATGGCCATTTGTCACCGCAAATGAAGTCTGCTTGCTCTTTTTTTTTTTTTTTTTTTTTTGCCTTGCCATTTTTGGCTGGCCAAGCAGAGGGCAGTGGGGAAAGGGAGGCAGCCAGGAGGGCGCCTGCTCGGCAGGGTAGGCTCACTGCTCTTTCTGGGTCGTGAAGGAAACCCTTTCCCCTTGCCTACACCCACCTGGCCACGCACAGCCAAGGGGGCTAGCAGGGAAACGGCTTGCTGGAAGATGGGCAACCAGCCCAGGGTCTTCTGGGCTGCTGGGCATAACTTCTCCTCCTTCCCCAGGACATCGAGCTGGGCAGAATACCAGTGTTCTCCCATTGCCTCGGCCCCTGTGGTTTTAGCTGCTCGTCTCCCCGCTGGGAAGGAGCTGCAGGCACTGCTCTGCCCTGCCAGCTGGGCTCGACCATCACCAGCAACGGCTGGTGGGAAGCCATCCGTTGTCCTTCGGCGACTGCTCGCCCAGCCCACACGCTCCCCCGTTCATCTCGATCTCATAAACCTCTTGATTTGTCCTTAGCACCCTGGAAAGCCATCGCCCCTCCAAATGCGTGGCACAAAACCCGCACTTGTTTGCACAAAGGGGCATTTTGCAGCACTGAGCAAGGAGGGAGCCAACAAAAGTCCCCTTCCACGAAGACGTCATTCAGTGGCCACCAAAGAAGCGGGCACTCCATGTGGCTGGCCAGACTTTCTTCAAAAAGCAACCTCTAACCCCTGTGGGGTAATACGCATAGAGAGCTCCCAGGCAAGCGGAGATGAAGGAAGAAAAGGTAGAATTTATTAGCAAGGAAAGCAGACTTTTTGTCTGTGGCACGTGGGACAGTTGGAGAGGCACGGCACAGACGGGCAGCGCCGTGGAAGCGAGCAGAGGGCAGCATCTCGAAAGGCGAGCGGCAGCAGCAGGAGGAGCTGGTACTTTATGAGTGTTGTTAAAAGTTTGGGATCAGCTGGGAGGGCAATCTGGATTTCAGCACTAATTACAACCATTCTGATTTATCATAGAAGATTCAACTCCTGGCATTTTGCGTTCCCTCCGAAATGCTGGCATAGCTGGAAGTTGGGGGAAGAGGAGACGCAGTAACAATCTCATTGTTTAGTGTCTGATGGCCTGACTAGCTAAACATCTGCTTGAAATATTAATAACTGTCAGATGGGAACAGCTCAGGGGCTCTATACAGTTTCACACCATCTGTTTGTAGAGTAAACACACTTACGCACAGGCGCATACACCCAACCCTTTTGTCAGGGCTTTTATTCTCTGGACCAGCACGTCTGTGAGGGTGGGCGACCAGCAGCTCTGTCCTGGGAGAGCAGAGGCAAGGGGGGGGCTGGGAGGGCAGCAAATTCATCTGCAACTAACGACAGCAGTCGTAATGCACCCAAAGTCTAGCAGGGGTTTTGATGCTCCCCTCTTTGATATTTCCTGTCCCAGAGGAGTTTTGCTTCCTATTTTGATTGTTTTCCAGCACAGGGTTTTGTTCTGGTTCTTGCTGTGTCCCACACTGGCACTGACATCAACTGATATCGCCCTTGCTCTCCAGGAGAGGTAGCTTCTTGCCAGGGATTTTGGGTGCTCCCACCACCCCACATGGGATGGATGGGCCCTATGGAAATGTCCCGCTACCGTCACCACCTCTGCTGCACCACCGTTCTGCTGCCAGCCATTTAATACCACGCTCTGCTGAATACAATCATTTCCCTCTTTTTCCACCTTTCACCCTCTTACTGGCTCAGCTGACCTCAGTTTAGTTGAAGAAGATGATGCTTCCAAACAGGGCTGTGAGAAAACCCACCCTGAAAGATAAATGTCAGGTGTTCACTCTCACTGATTAAGTGACCATGTCCAGTAAGTACCAGGGCATCTTTTCTCATAAGAAGTAAGGTAAGAGAGAGGCGGTGAATATGCGATGGGACACAAGCCATATACACAACTATCGTACTCGGTGGATCCCATGCAGTGAGGAGGAGGGAGAAGCAAAATCGTGACCTCTGGGATCAATACCTGCAGAAGAAGCTGCTGTCTGCAGATGAGAGCTTTCAGGGTAGGGTTCTCCTTGAGTTCCCCGTATGGTGGGAACCACACACACGTGTCTCCCAGAGACCAAGAAAGGTTAAGGTATCTGCTCCAAAAGCCCATAGGAGGGCTACACCCCACCCCACTGCTCCCTTACCACGTGCATCTCCCACTGCTCCCTTACCACGTGCCCCAGCCCACCCCTCGGTGATGGGCACTGCAGAGCCACACGCGTGCCAAGGACTTGGCAAAGAGAGCCACGATGCTCCTACTCACATGGACCTGGAGGACAGTGGTCCCCACGGTGGTGTTCTCGAAGAGGCTTACGTTGTACAGGGCCTTGCTGAAAATGGGGCGGTTGTCGTTCTCGTTGATGAGGTTAATCTTCACGCGCGCAAAGCCGACGTGGTCTGGGACACTCTCGTTTGCAAAGAGCTGGGCAGAGACGGGAAACGAAGGGGAAGGTTGGAGACACTGTCTGGGAAGCTTGGGGGAGTGATCTGTTCTTCTTTAACAGAGGGAACAATGCTCTCCTGAGCTCCCTCACCAGATGAGCCAGATCAGTGCTAGCCACCAAAGCAGATATGCTCAAAAAAAATGAGAAAAGAGACCCTTTCTCTCTCCCCTGGCAGCTGCTCAGCTCTGGGTGACCTCAGCCCTTGGGCAAGCCAAAAACCCTGCCCCACTTGGCCTCAGCAGCCCCAGCATCTTCTTGGGGAACCAGGACCAGCCACCCCACCACAGCCTGGAGCAAGGGTAGGAAGAGTTTTACTCATCTTTCTCCACTAACGCATGAAAGCCTCTCTGCCAGGACCAACACTGCTAGTGTGGTATGAGCCTGCTTTGCCTTCCTTGAGAATTTACAGCTCATGCGGAGAGCAGGACAAAGCTGGAGCAGGAGCCTGGGGAGAGTTTTGCTGCCTGATAGGTGCACTTAAAACAAAGTTTTATGCTCTATAAAGCTTTTACAGCCTTGTGACATAGCAAGCGGGAATACGCTCTGCTTAAGCTCTTGCAGCTGAGCCTTTGGATTTTGAAAAGAGAGAGAAGGCACAGAGCAAATCTCTTCCCCACTTCTTCCTTTTTCTTTATTACTATTTCAGTTTTTTGGCCCTTTAGTAATGCTCTGGAGTTTCACAGTGTGGACTAGAGAGAGGAAGAGAGAAGCCTGATTAAAGGTCACTCTTAGGTCACTCTTAAAAATACAGATGTAAAGCACAGGGGTGCAGCCTTACCGAAAATTCGTAGCGAGGAATGGTCTCAAAGTCCAGCGGCACTGCCACGCGGATGCGGATGTCTGCCTTCCCCTGGACGGAGGTCGGTGAGATGATGAAGTGGTTGGAGTTGTTGCCCACCAAGTAAACCTCAAAAACACTGTTGGGTCCCTGGGAAAAGGAGAAAGGAAGGTTGACAGCGGCAAAGGAGGAAGGACCCGGTGCAGCCGTGGGGTAAGGCTGCAGGCAAGTGCAGGATGAAAGCACCGACCCGACTGCAAAGCCTGTGCATTGGGCACAAAGGTGTCAGTGCCAGCAGCTTGGGCACAGCCCCTTGCCTTCAGACATGTAAAAATGCAATTACTGTAGATGCAGGGGAGTGTTTCTCTGCTTGGGTTTGGTTAACTGAGTCACAGGGTTAGGCACCGACCGTGAGCACCCTTTGCTGCGTTTTATTATGCTTACTGGGTGTACAACGCGTGTGATTTCTGTAAACCTTCTTTTCATATGCACTCATTTTATACAAAATCCATATGCACATGAAAAGGACGCGTCCTGGGGATGAACCTGCACAGCACACAACTGGAGGGAAAATCCGTTTTGCTGTTTCAAGATCCATGCACCGCACAGGCTATCGCACACCAGGATTTCATTGCCTTGTGCTGCAGGGCACAGCATGGCTGCCTCTCCCACGCAGAGGGCTCTTTCCAGTAAGACAGCTCAAACTGTGAACTGGAAAACTCCAACTCTCCCAAGACCTGGCTGGCAAAGCAGCAGGACCACCGACGTACTGACAGCAGCACTTTAGGACTCTCGCTCCAGGCACAGCACCCCTTCCCAAAGCACGGCCCAGCAGAGCACATGAAAATCAAGCTCAGAAGCTGCCAGAGACGAGTTTCCAATTTTCCCCGAATGACCTCCCTCCTATCAGAAAAAGGGACCAATTAAATGCACAAAGGGGCACTAATAGCAAAAGCTGGCTAAGCGTGACCGCCGAGAGCTGGCGACACGAGCAGAATCCCTGCTTGCCCTTCTCCCTGCGCCCCCCCAGGAGCCCTCGATCTCCAGCGGAGCCACGCAGCAGCAGAGAGCCCCGAGGGCACCCAAAGAGCAGCACAAGCAAACCCTGAGGGCACCCACCACCCCAGGGGCCCAGCATCGCTCAGCTGGTGGACGATGGCCGGAGGAAACAAAAGGGACCCATCTTGATGCAGTCTTAGCTCCTTCCAAAAGCTGTTTTGCTGGCAAACTGGGATGTGCCAAGCCCGGCACGAGTGAGGGATGCTCCCTGATGCCGATACAGAGCCTAGGAGGGAGGGAGCAGGGGATACGGAGGATGGCGGGAGGAAGCATCACTCCCCAACCCTATACTTAAGATGCCAATTTATAACAAACAACCATTTTCCACCAGCAACAAAAAGCCATTTCATTGAGGAATTTCTGCCCAGCTCTGCTGCTGAGCCCTTGGTGCCTCTCCCAGGGCCTGGTGCCCTCCCTGTAGTACACAAAAGCACCTTTCGTGGCGGTGAGATGCGAGGGATTTTCTTGGAAGCCGGGGAGGAGTGAGTTTGTTGGAGGCATGAGATAAAAGTTGAAACATCAAAAGAAACCCAAGTATTTGTGGGAAGAGAGCTGGGTGGATTAATTCCCCTCCAGCTGGGGAAGGAGATCAGCCTCTAGATACCCACCATCCCTAATTAGCAGCCCCTTGAGTGCCTCAGTCTCCCCATTTGAGGTCTGGAGAAGGGGAATACATCTGCCTCTCGGGAGGGCTGCTGCGAGTTGCCATTTATATATTTATTCAGCTATTTAGTTTTTTGTTTCTGCCCCCATGCTGCTTTCCTTGCTCCTAGTTCCCGGAGCCTGCGAGCCCCCTGTGGATGGCTGAAAGCAAATCTGAATATTCAAATTGTTATCAGCTGCCCAGCAGAAGGGGCTGGCTCAGCCCGGCTCACAGCTAGTACCCCCCGCTTTGGAGGAAGCCACGGGGAGCTGCTTACATTTTCCTCACCCCTTCCTTACCTGCTCCTGCCACCCAGAGCAAACAACGGATCTGAAATGTGTTCGTGAAGAAGAAAAACAAGCACTGTCTCCTCGGGCTCGCAAAGGTCCTGGGGTGCAGTGGCGGGCCCATAGCCGAGCATCATCTCTTTGCAGTGCCGAGGATGAGGATGGGCTGCACAGGTGTACTATCGGTGCACAACCTGCTTTACCTGCTCGTTTCCCTGCTTCAACCCCTTACCTACCAGCTCCCGCGCCGCTCGAGGTTTTTTTCCCCATCGCTGAAAACAAATTGGCTCCTTTGCCTTCCTTTAGAGGCATAAATTAACGAGCAGCCTGCCAAAGCTTAGCAACCCCACAATAATAAACCCGTCTGCACGCACCCTCCATCCAAAACAAATGGAGCCATAAACAGGCTTCGGAGGGAAGTTTGCTATTGCACAAAGCCGGGACATGGCCGCACGTTTCCCAGCTCATCTCCTCCCGTGCCAGTGCGCGGGGCCAGCGCTCGCTGTGGCTCGAGGCTGCTGCCCGCTGCCTCCTTCCCGGCAATCAAACCTCCTCCCAGTCGTAGCCGGCGCCGCAACGGATGGAAATTTCATGTCAATTCAGCTAAAAGACAATCGTAGCTGCAGTTGGGCATAATTATTACTTTGTTCTTCGCGTGTGTATTACTTGGAGCGTGTAATAGGAGCCGCGTCGTGTCCCTGCTGCCACGATGCCAGCATCAACCTCATGCCGATACCCAACTTCCAAAAAAGTGACCGCTGACTGATCCACCCCCAATGCTTCACACTCGAACAATTTGTGACGGACCTGTTTGCCAGCCCCACGTGCCCAACGGCCTTCTTAAATTCCAGGGGGCTGGAGCAGAGGGGAGACCATCCCTCGGCACAGTCAGCACAGCCTGGACTGGCAGGCAAGGGCAGAAGCTCAGGCGTGAGGCTGTGAGATGCCAGGAGGTGGGTACGTGTGTCCCCTCCAGAGGTCCCAGGCGCCATGTGGGACCTGCTCACGCACCTGCTATGAATCACGGCCAAAAGTCTGCTCTCCCAACCCACAAGACGTGCTCACAGGGCATGGTTCAACAGGGAAGCCCTTCTCACATCAGGAGGCCAGGAGCAGCCACATCAGCTGTTCCAGCTTTGACTGAGGATGGATCGAAAGCTTTATCCCTGCTTTTCCATCTAATATTGCCCACTGGCTTCATCCATCACTCCCACTCCCACCCAGCCCCTTCCTCATGGGAGTGCACACGGAAACGCTTCAGAAATTATTCAACCCCCCCCCAGTCAAAGCAAGTATTTAGCATCACTTACCAATGGCTACACAAAAACCCAAAGTAAAAAAAACCCAAAGTAAAAAAAAAAAAAAAACCAAACAAAAAAAACAGGACCAAACACCTAGAGAAGCAAACAACCCTTTTTCAACCACGCTCCCTGCAATCACCGAGGTACACAGGTAAGTTGGTGGCTTGGCCTGCAATCGTTTTCAGCACAAAGTGAGGTAGATTTGGGAAAAACAGCCTGGGATCCTCAGTCTTCTTCTCTTCATGCTGCCTCAGTGCAGGGCTGCCTTTGGTTCCCTCTACCCTAGCTCAGCTGCAGCTCACTTTTCCAAAATGGAGAGCCCTGCCTTTCTGAAGCACAAAATCCAGTGTAACTCCAGCTTTCCTCCCAGCCACTTTCTAGGCACAGGTTATTACCTACAAAAAACTAAGGAGTGTTTGATATCCCTCATTCTGGCAAGTTTGCAAAGAAAGGAAAGCGCTAAGAGTTCAGGAGTGGTGGAGGAAGAAGGGAAAAAAAGGAGGTGTGGGTTTGCTTTTTTTTTTTTTTTTAAGAAAGCAATTAGTGCCTCTTTCTACAGCTTGGATACTTTATGCTTGGTTCTAGCTAGTCAGAGACAAATAATGCGTAATCCTTCCTTTGAAAACACAAAGCATAAAGAGGGTTATTCTCTCCACCCACTTCAAGGCATTTAACTTGAGTGCTCTGAATAGCCTCTCCAGAGTTGCCTGCCTCTCCCACACTGTCCATCCCGCCAGCTCGGGCTCCCAGTGCCCATTGCTTGCCTGGCACCCACTGCCCACCACCAGGCACCCCAGCACGACAGCATCAATAACCCTTCTGAGGGCTCGCTGGGCATGGGTGCTTGGCCCCTGCATCCTTAAGGACCTCACTGGTGTCACGAGTGATGCAGGATGCCTGGAGCAACATGTTCCCCAGCTTTTCGGACCCTCCTCCCCACGCTGGTAGCCCTTTTCTCCCATCTTTCTGTCCGTCCTAAGTGTCAGTCCTTGCCCGCGTCCCCCCTCCTGGAGGAGTTTTCTCCTTCCCCGCTCTCCCCAGGTTATCTGCTGAATTCCACACACGCCTGCACAGACGGGATCAATCCGAGGCTGCCTCGCCTTCAGCTTATCTCTGCTCCAAATGATTGATTTTCCCTCTTTAAGGGTAATTTGCTGGTGAATTCCATGTATTGCAAAAACCCCTGTGAAATCTAATTCAGCCCGACTGGCAGCTGGCACTTTTGGGAGAGAATACTCGAGCGCCGTCAATTCCCCTCACAGTTCCTTGCTGTGTAGATCATATTTATAGTGCGCGTGTCTGTCATATGCATATATATGCTATGGATGATTCATATATTGCACCTGCACACGCATGGGCACATACGATGTCCCTATGCGAGTCTCTGATGTAGCTTTATGCAACAAATACCGTGTATTCCCATGGCCTAGATTTTCTTCTTTTAAATTCCCCATTTATCTTCCTCAATATGCTTATTTTGGAGAATTGTTTCAAAATTATTTTAAAATGTCAGACCATCAAGCTCGTGCTTTATACAGCCTCTGCCCTTTTCTTCCTCTTCAGTCAACCGCATCAAGGAAAATCAAGTATAAGCCACGGTAGAAGAGCTGGTTTCTCTGGCGTGCCCTGGGAAAGTACGCTGCCATTTCTTTTAATATACCTCTGTGGATCTTGCAGCAATAGGAAGCTCAAATGAGGGATGCCCTGAAGGATGCCCGGCTCCTTCTCCTGCATGGCCAAACCCTTGCCTTCTCCCTAAAATACTGCATCAAGTCACCAGGCTGTAAACCACCAACATATCCAGAAAGGATATCCACGTGCCCCCGCCTCAGCCAGCCCTGGAGCAGATGAGCCTGAGCTAACCAGGCCTCCAAATTAATGTGAACTTATTCCATAGCTCAAGGATCTTGCTCTCAACCTGGAAGCAAACCTTGCTGCAAAAGTGGATAACTCAAGGCTCTGATCTTCCGTCTCATACACAGGAGTTATTTGTCCCTGCTGATTTATTGTGACATGAAGGAGCAGAGAATCCAACCCCAGCTGGGGAGTGTATATACATACCGGCCTCCTGTGGTGTCCATTTGAGTATAAGCTCGGTCTAAATACTGGGAAACTTTCACAGATTTTCATAAACAGCCCTCAAATAGCTTTGGAAAGGTATTCAGATGGTTTGCATTCTATCTGGCAGAGAGGGAAACTCAGCTGCACAGAGGTTATACTTTTTTCTTGGTTCATAGGAGGACGGGTCCAAAACCCTGTGCAAACACCTGATTTCTCCTGCATTCAAGTGTTTGTGATAAGCCATAGAGAATGCAAAAAGAAAAGCCAGCCCACCCGGTTGAACACCGTTTGCCTGCACCCCAAATTCACGCCTGGGGTGTTCTCAGCTCAACTAGGGCGCATCCTCTTGAGATGCTCCTCGTCCCACCTCGCATCCCAAGCCAGCTCCTCCCGCAGCAAGACCACGACCACGTTTGAGAGACAGCAGCTGGGAGTTTGCAAGGGAAAGACTCAGAGGAACAGGTTTCTCCTTGGAGGCACCCTGCTTGGGTACCTCATCTGAGGTGTTAATGCCAGCCGAGCTCCAGAAAGGCACTTAAACACAGTGGTAAATTCAAGCGCATGCTTTCAAGCGCAGTCTTGTGTGCAACGTAAATACATTTTTAAGTACTTTGCTGAATCGTTTAATCTAACTCCTTCAAAAAGCAATCATTTAAGTTTGTGCAAAACACACCAGAAGAAAGACCAAACCCTCACCATTTAAAAAGGCCGCGTGGGCCTGGCTACAAAACACCTACTTGTTTAACGGCCTTGGCAGCCCACGTAGTGTGTTTTAAGGGCCAGACCCATGCAACACCCATTTCCCCAGCTCCACAAAGAAACAACTGGGGTGTGATGGAAGGCAGGTTACCCAAAGTCACCCAACTCTTGCTTGGGGCAAGGTTCAGGAGTGGGCTGCTCCGTCTGAGAAGGACCTCAACAAGTGTGAGGGCTGAAGGAACAGCATCCAAACTCGCTGCTGGAGGGCTTGGCTCAAGAAAGAAACCAATCTGCCAAGAGACTCTCCTAGGACTTAACAACATCGACTGGGAGGCAGGAGACAAAACTCAAGCAAAACGATCTTCCCAAAGACTCTAGCTTTGATTTCATGTGTCTCTATCCATCTGCTCTCATTTATTTATTTAGCTGCCATCCCCAGAGACGTGTATAATTCTCTTCTTGTTTTCCTTTGCCCTTTACACAAATGAATCGTGTCATCTCCAGCATGAAGGCTGTGTTGGCAAAATAGCTTCTGTCAGCCACATCCTCAGTCACATCCTTGCCTGTAGACCTCCATCTTCACCATCCCATTCCTCCATCCCTGCACCCACAGAGCTGAGAGCCTGGCACCATCTTGGCTACCTCAAATCCAGATGGTTTGTAAAAGCCTCACAATTCTCGTGAGGTATTTGAGCATCCAAAATACCACTGCCAGGCAACTATCTTCCCTTTATGTAAGTTTTTTGCTGAAAGTTTGGGGGTCTTGGGACATCTATAAATACACTGCCAGGGAACCAGTGCTAGAACAAGCCTGGCTGCAGATGCAGTTTCACTTCTATCTCACATATAACTTTTTCATGACCTGGGTATCCTCTCCCCATTTTTTTTTTCCTCTAAAGTGCTACCTTGATGGTTAATCCAGTTTCAAGCATCCACGAGAGGAAATAAGAAAGATCCACTGTAAGATAATGCAGAAAGAAAGATCCCAATTGCTTAGAACTTTCCTCCCTCCAGAAATTCCAAGGCATCAGCACTCCTGTACTTCTTATCAGTGAAAATAATGCTATGGTAAAAGCAACCCGTGCTAATATGACAGTCTCCGAAGACACGTACAGTAAAACTCCTTTGGACTCCCCTAGCGCAAGAGGTCTTCTCTCAGCAGTTTTAAAAATCTCAACCAATTCTTTTGGGGAAATCTCGGAAAGTTAAAGAAATACATCAAAAGAATGAGTCTATTTTTTGCTGGCGCGATCGGGAAGGCAAGGCTATTTTTTATTCTCCCATTTTAAAATTAGCAAGGCTGAAAAGTGAATTCCTGAATGGGAGTCACTCCAGTAAAATGAGCTTTTAACCAGAAATAATGACAGATCCTTCATCCTTCTGGCACAAACAGAAGTGTTACAATGCCCTTCAAGAACGGATCTGCTGACATCTCTCAGAAAGCACGACAGTGGCTTTATTCAGAAACTATCCTAAGCATCTGTCATACCCATATCTTCTTTATTAGCAATTGACATTTTCAAGAAAAAACAGTCTCTTTATCTGCTTAATAGCTCATCTGCACCTCTTCAGGCTGAACTCATAACTCTCAGATGGTGATATCACGTCACAAGTAGACTATTAGTTCTGTGTCATAATCACTTCACATGAAAAAAAATGGGATTTCTGGGTGGCTTTACGAGACGTGGTGAATTCCACCCAGGGCTGGGGAAAAGCAAATCCATCATTTCAGCCAGCAGAGGCATCTCAGAAGATGCACATTTTAACTGACCCACCAGGATTTTGAGGGGACAGGGGGAGATGTTCCATTTTGTATTCCTCGGTGCTATCACATCATTTACCGAAGCATCAGGAAAACGTGCTGGTGATGCTGTTTATTCTGACAAACCCTCTCCCCTCAACCCTCGCTCAGCCTGAAGAGGAATAGGGATGGCAGGACCCTGTAGCCAGAGCCTTTCTGAGGGATTTCAGAAAGTTCACCATGAGGTGTCAGCACTTGTTTGAAGCAGACACCACGCAGCGTGTGGGGTTGGAGGGTACCGGCACACAGAAGCAGCCAGACGTGAACCTCACAAGTCAAATAATCAGAGTAATTGAAGGCTGCGAGCTCAAGGCTGGAAAACATGCTGCAATCCCTACGTGGCACGGACCGGTGCGTAACAAATAGGAGCTCCATTAACACGAGGGAAGAACAAGCCTCCAACGCTCCCGGCTCGTTTGCAGTGATGAACCGGTATCCCAGTCCTGGCCATGCTCACGCTTCCTCCAGCCCCGTGCTGGCAGGTATCTCTTACCTCCTCCCTGATAGCAGCAGTACCTGTCCCCACTGGGGCAGAGAGCCCAGAGGTCCTTTCTTTCCCCCGCCCCCCCCGCAAGTCCTCTGAGATTCCAGCAGAAAACCTCCTCCCTTTCTAAAACAGACTGGCAAAGGACTGCCTGACAAGAGCCCCTGGAAGCGGGCAGGAATCAGCACCCCACACTATCCTATTTTCTGGGTCTCTGTGGCTGTGCAATCCTGCTTGCACTAAAGCACATGCCGTGCCTGGCGCTTTGGGGTGGGCATCTGCACTCAGGGTACCAAGCAGGCAGAGCAATGACGACAGTAAGAGCTGAAAAAATGGGTATCAGGACATAACCATGCACCTCACTGCAGGTTCAGCAGTGACCTATCCTTCCCTGCACCCCCCAAACCCACACCAGTGCTACCCTACAAACAGAAGCGCCCGTGGCAGGGGATACCTCACCTCATCTTTGTCCTGCACATGGATGAAGAGGGGCAGGGCAAAGCCCACCTGGGCCAGCTCTGGGATGGCCACACTGTACTCCGAGCTGTTGAACTCGGGTGCGTTGTCATTGATGTCAATGACTAGGATGTTGAAGGTGGTGGTGACAGTGGCGTCGGAGGGTGTGCGGTCATCGTTCAGCTCTGTTGCCTGCAAGGAGAGAAAGCAACAGAGCAGCCTTTATTTTTCAAAGAATAAACCTAAAAGAAAGTGTTTGTGCTGCGATCAGGCTCCTGCAGCTTTTGCTTCCTCCACTTTGCCAAGGAAGGATGCTCATTTGGCTCTCCCATTGCCCCTTAACCTCGAGAACCTTTCTACATGGCTGACCCATTAACACACACAGATGTTGACCCAGCTCTTCCATCACCCATGCTCCAGACCCACAGCACTCTTGCAAACCTACCCAGGGGTTTAACATTTCCCTTGGGATACCTGTGGACAAGTTCTCACTTGCCCCTGCCATGCAACAGGTTGTCAGGACTTGGAGTCATGCTAGGGGATGAGTAGACGATTTTTTCCACCACAAGCATTTACACCAAAAAAAATGCACTGAGAGATGTGGGGGACAGTTCTCAAAATAAGGAAAGCTGCAATGGAGCAAAAAGCACTCCTATTTTCTCCTCTGCTGTCTCCTGAGGTGGGACCAGGATCAGGGAGCTAGCCATCGTAGTACTTTTGAAGGGAGAGAAAACTAGGGCAACAGAGGAAAACAAGATTTAGACCTTAAAATAGGTTTGGCAACATGTGTCTACAGTGCTGAGTCATGACTCCATATCACACCTCTGTCTCAAGAAGGACTTTAATTTTGCTTTCCCAAAATGAAAGAGTGCAGATTTTATTGCCGGAGTAGCCAGACTTGTGAAACAGCCTTTTCAAGCAAAGTCCCTCCTCTCGTCCTTTGGAAATCTTGCTTTGCTGTGGGCACAGAAAAGCAACGCTAACACGACCCACACGGCTCATTGCTATTCACCACTTCTGCACACAACAGCAGAACAGGCTGATCCGAACAGGGAGCAATCCAGCTGTATTTTCACTGTGTGCTCCAGGACGAGAGCAGAAGAGAACATTCTGGGTCCCGGGGATGCGGGACACAGAGAGTTGGCATTTGCGGGAGGATGGAAAGTTTGTGGAGAGAGGAAATAAAAATCTATCGGATCAACAGAATATAGTTGGAACTCCATTATCATGCAGGCAGGAAAACGGGCAAGTTTTCAGGTTCACAAACCTTTCCAAGATTGAACAGATATTTTTGTCCCTAGTAAAACCAGACAATCCTCCCTCTCTTGATTTCTACTGAATTTAAACTATAAAAGCCCAAACAAAGAGATACCAGGGAGGGATGCGAATCTCTTCTCCATGCATAAAGCCCCCCAGTACGACCTCTGCCTGGGACTGAGGCGGGTAATTTCTTGTCCCTTTCCCCCCCTGAAAAACCATTACACTTGCCAAAACAAGGAGGGCTGCTGCCCTCTCGATCAATGACCCTTCCTACAATGCTGATTTTTCCCCACCCCAACCCAACAGAATCTATACTTCTAAATGCGTTTCCAACCAGCTGCCCAGCTTGGTATTGATTTTAATTATAGGGTTGCGAGCAGAGCTGGGGAGCCGCTCTCAGGTGGGGCTGCTGGGGCTGGAAAACCACGCTCCAGTGCCTTTTCTTGAGGAGGCAACTTTCAGCATCACTCCCCCTCCCTGTGCCTGCTCCGGGCAGATGCAGATGATGCCCTGTTACACTGCTGGCCGCTGACATGACAAAACGTTGCTGTTTTTCCAGGGTTTTGGGGGCGGAAAGGTGGGAAGTAGGCACAGTTCAGGTGCCTGAATGTAGGTGTCTTGTGCTATTTGCAATCCCAAGACATCTGCATGCTTCCAGCAGATACAACAACAGGCAGATCTAGTTGGAGACCAGGCAGGGCACCAAAAATGACCTTATACATCCATATAGAGGCAACCACATTTTGGGCCACCATATGAGGGGGCTCTGGATGCTCACAGGAGCTATATGCTCCAGGTTTGTGCCTCCACCTTGAAGGAGTTGTGCCCAAGCAGGATGGTCTCCTGCTCTGCCAATGTGCCTCTGGGATGGAGGAGGTCTCACCTTCACCGTGAGGATGAATCCAGAGCTATACAAGGGGTTTTCCCGGTCCAGTGGCCCATTCAGGGTTAAGGCTCCACTGATGTAGTCCAGTGCAAAGATGCTGTTGGTGTTGCCTGAGAAAAATAAAAAGCAGCGTGAGCATAAGCAGCCGGTACAGCCGATGCCAAATGGTACCAGGGGTAACGCAGAGAGGGAAGTGGGAGGACACAAGCCTCTTCCTCTGCCAGTCTCCACGCATGACCGGTCCCAGTGCTTGAGAGAGGTTTTACAGAGCAGGCCCACTGCCAGACTGGGAGCTCCGAGCTGGGCACAGGCAGCAGTGGGCTCTGCGAACCCTGCACATTATCTCAATGTGCTTTAAAATGTAACGGCTGTAATGGTCCCCTCCTCCTCTCACCTGCCCCAGCTCAGGGGCTTAAAATAGTGCTTTCCTTCCAACAGCCAATAAAGTTGTGAATGCTGCAGGCAGCTGACGAATTTCAAAGGGTTTTGGTTATTAAAATATGCAACAGCACAGCTGAAACCAGGGTCAAATCCAGGTGCTCCGCTCTGAACAATCGCCTGCATTCACAGGGCAGTGTCCCTGGGGTGGGCATGGCCTCTCTCTTAAAATACAAGAGCTTAAGGGACATCAGTCCAGGTTAATCAGAGGAAGGCGCAGATGGACCAAGCTCACAAGTAATTCTACATATAACAAGAGGTAGTTTAACTGTGGGGCATCTTGCCAGAGGATGCTGAGGATGATAAAAGTCCACATGTATTCAAGGAGAGACTGGGAAGGGTAATGAAAGAAAAAAATTCTATCAAATAACAAGCCACATACAGCTCAGGAATTTTCTTAGCTTGACATACTTGGAGCCCAGGAGAGTATTAGAGTAAGTACTATAGGCACTTGCCCTGCCTTTATGCTCTTGCCAGATGTGTTGACGTCATGCAGCTGCCTTGTTTTCCTCTCCTTGAGCCAAATTTGGCCTCTGTGCCAGTCCTTACGTGCAAGCAAGGACACGGGGTGCCATGGAGGGCTGTGCTGCCTCCTCCGAGCATCCTATCCTTGGCTTGACTCTTCCTCTGCAATTAGACACCCGGAGAGGATTAAGACAACACTTGAGTCTCGCAGCCAACAGATGCTAAAAAGACAAACGTCCGGCACTGGGAATGCCCTTGCGACAGTCCCAGGTGCTCTCTCTGTCAGCCAGACAAAAGAAAGCAGTTGGTGTGTGGAGCCTGGGATACTTGACACCAGCCCAACACAATTCCAGAGGAGCCTGCTGAATTAGTGATGGCCAAGGAGGTGAAAGATGGGCATATGGCCACCCACACCACTCCCCTCATTGTCTCACAGTATGCAGAAACCCCTGATCCAGCCTCAAACGGGAGTGAGGAAACCCTGCAAGTATGCTGTATTAATCCCAGTCAAAAATAATAAAAAAACTCAACCCTGTCTTCTCAATATATCTCAGCGTGAACAAAACACACACACCATTTGTCATTTCCCTGAAAAGGAGCTGCAAGACAGATATGCCGCTGCAGAAAGTTGTTTCCCATCACTCAGCATCCACTTTGCTCCCTTCCAATCTCCCGTTTAACCACGGCTGCACTTTTCCCGGGATGGTCAAACCTCCAGGTCTGGCTCTCCCCTCCCGCCCAGCCCCAGGAGCCACCCCAGCCTTCACGAGCCACTGGCTGCCAGAATCTCCTCTCTTTCCCAGGGCCCTAAATGCTGTAACACCTTTCTCTCCCATTACCAAGCCTTTATATCTTCCTCTCGGACCGAATGCCTCCCATTTCTGTCCTTGGTCCTCTCTTTTCTCCATCCGAAATGGCCCATTGACTGCTAGCCAGATTAATGAACTGATACGCGGCTACTTAAAATATTAGCAACAGCCTTGCTTTTTTTTTTTAATCTAACTTTCGCTGCCGTACATGAAGATCTCTAGTGTCCTCCCTCAGATAATTCCCCCCTTTTCATTTTGACTTCCCACCTTTGCTCTGTAATTTACGGCTGACTCTTTAGGAGACGTTTTCTGATACCAGCTTTGAAGGACACGCCACGAGATGTATTGAATTGTGCTGCAAGGCGTTTAAATGTTCCAGGATGCCATGTTGCCATGGTAAAGTTTATGCATCAGGGCAATCTTGATACACTCCCCCTAATATAAAGTGTAATAAAATACCTTTTTAATCACAAAATACTGTTCTGCTAACACAAACCTGTAAATGCGGACACCAATGGATTTTAGTGGAAATAGGTCAATAGGGCAGGAATTTGACACAAAGGACTGAACACAGCACTGAGCTCTGTGTCCTAACAATGGTTAAGTGTTTCATATTTGACCACAGTCATTTTTTTGAAGAATGGATGAATAAATTAGGGACCCAAATACCCTCCCAGGCCACACATCAGAGGCTTTTCTCCAGCTCAGCCTCCCCAACACCGTTCAGATGGCAGATACGTATCTGATGACCTCCGGGGCGCCTTTCTGCTAGCAAAGAATTGCCGGCTTTGCAAATTAGCCTCAGAAGGGAAAGAGGTGTCTCCAAACTTGTCCCTCAGAGGCCTTTCATAATTTCCTCTACAATGTCTCTCCAACCACCGCTTCATTATTCCTCTGACCAGTGATCCCCGCTGAAGTACCCGCATTGCTGAACAATGCACATTCCCCCGAGACACTTTCTTTGCAAAAATCTCTCTAATCATCTTCACATGTCTTCGCCTTCCTCAGAGGAAGGGGAAAAAAAAAAAAAAAAATGTGGGGGAAAAATAGCCAATTTTGTCTTTCCCTCCCCCCAGTCTCTCACTCTCCCCACCTCTGTATAATTTCTCCTCCCCTCCCGGTGCTCCTATTACCTCTCCATCATCTTCCTGATCTAGGACCTAGGAAAAAAACAAGACTGGGTTAAGCACAGCTTAGTCCACGGCTGCCAGTGCAGATGGCCACACCGGCCGATGGCTTTCAACCCGTTAGTCCACTCCGCCACTCTCCCAGTTCTTGCTCTGTCCTGCTCCCGGTTGGACTGGTCGCAAGCTCCCGGCCAGCCACCTGCAGCCGTCCGTGCCCGTGGTGGCCTCGGAGGCAGATGGATGGCCATGAGCCAAGCCGGCTCCTCACCGCGCTGCCCCAAGGCTTTGGCCGATGGTTTGCGTGGCCAGTGGCCAGCGGTGCCTGCCGGCCACGTCGACAGAGCAAAACACGGTTTGCTATCACTGGTTTTCAAGCGATACCGTGATGCACAGGGGTGTGATGGAGAACACTGAGGGGATGGAGAACCTTTACAGGGATTTCAAACCCAGCAGAGAACCCCAGATAATCCTGTTTCTCGGAGGACGCGGAACGGCGCACAGACCTTTCCACCTCCAAGTTTGCACTGTGCAAACTGTTTTCATGACGCAGACTGGAACTGTTGTGGCCGCACTTGACAGGGAAGCCAAGTGACCTTCATCCCTGCTTCCCTCCTTCCTCCGACTTGGATCAGGAGTCACCAGCTGCTGGACGTGTCTCTGCTTGAGCTACTGACTGCCTAGCCTGAAATCTGGTCTGAACCACCAGAGCATTTCTAGATGGAGATCAAAGACTTCATTTCCATGCCTCTGGTTTGAGAAGGGGGCCGAAGACCGTGGTCTGGTTTCTGCTCAAGAGGCTTATATGTCCTTCACCTCCTTCCTCATTGCACGGAACAGGCAAAGCTAAGGAATAAATGGGTCTTTCATCAGCAAAGGAGGAGCTCTGCTTTCATGTGCTGGGAAAACAAAGACAGCCTTAAGAAAAGCAGGGCAGGGAGCAGAAAATACATGTGAGGCTGCCTAGGAGGTAGCATCCACTGGAGAAGCACCCTGTGGGAAGGCAGGCTCCACTTCTTTCTCTGTTATCGCTGCAAACCTACGGAGCTGGACACAGCGCAAGGCAGGGGACAGAAGGAGAGACCGGGAGAGAGACCCAGGGTAGGAATCAGATGGGGCAGAAATTAAATGATGGGAAGGGAAAGGCTGAGCAGCAAAACAGATTGCAGAGAGAAGAAAATCTTAGCAGACAATGTTTTTAAAGACCCGAAAAGAGAGAGGAAAGATGAGAACAAAAAAAGAAAAAAAACAAAACAAAACAAAACAAAACAACAAATTTGGGACAGCAATATGAATGCATTTCTGGCTGACCCATTGCTCTCACCTGGCAAGGAACAGGCTTACTCAAGGCATACAAGCCCAGGTTCTTGTTTTGACGTGCGTAAAAGGAGAAGGAAAACTTTCCCATCCCTCTGTCCGTGTGTGGGTCAGGGACAGGAGCAGCTCCTACATCCACCGTGGCCAGGGCAGGGAGCGGGAAGGCAGGGACCAACGTGGTGCTGGGTTGGGAGCAACGGGATGGATCGCAGTAGCCCATTTGGAGTGTTTTTCCAGGCTCATTGAGGAACGGATGGTGGCATAGGCATCATTTTGGAGAAACACTGCTATAACGAGGGGTTTTATAGATGAGGGCCATAATGTTTAATTGCCCTCAGCCAACGCTCTCACAGTTTAAAAAGGCCATTAAAAGTACTGGCTCAAACCCAGGGAAAAAAAAAAAAAAAAAAAAGAAAAGAAAAAAAGATACTGATGTCCCCTCCTTCCACCCTACTCCTCTGGCCTTTGAGCATCATTCAAATCTCTAGGAGAGAAGCAGCTATTGCCTGTCAGCCAGGGGAAGCTGATTCTCTCGTGCTGGAGAATTTTCCCACCCCCCTCTACACGAAGGGCCATTTGTGTTGGGGAGCTGCTTCCTCGAAAGGCACCAGGCTTGCTGAGCCGCTGAACTTGGAGCGGATGACTTTCATGAGATGTGAAAGGGGAACCCATCACACACCTTGAGCCGGATAATTTATTAATCAAAATGTGCTCCGTCAGGGCTCCTCGGCACCGAAATAGATGCTGTTGGATGTGGTTCATAGAGTCAGCAACAGACACAGTTATCATCGTATAAATAGTCCCTCAGCTGCTGTGACCACCTCGCTGCTCTTCACCTTGAGTTTTTGCCCCTGTGCTATATGCAGGGAAGCACACCAGGGCAGATACCTTGCTCCATGCTTAAATTTAAAGAGAACAAGTGATTGCCAAAACAAAAGGGGTTATTACAACCTGAGC